CCATTTGTGGGCGGAACTTCTGCGCGCGACGGGCTTTCCGACCTTCAAGGCCTTACCGAGTTCCGTCGAAAGCATTTTTGCAGCGTAGGGTGCCACAGATCTGATGTTCGTGCACGCGGCTTTCTTTTCTACTAGACGTACTTTTTTCATTTATTCTTCAGAATTTACTATAGTTAAAATTATGTAATGATTATTGGCTCTTCCCGAAGAGCTTCTCTTGTAACCACCACCTGATCCACAGCTTTTCAGTTCTCCAATGCCTCGTGGGGAGATGGCGACGCTATGGTGTCCTCTCATGCCACCTACATTGTTCCTCCTGGCGTGAGTACTTCTTAATTTCAGTGCCGGGCACGAAGTTCCCAGCCAATTATTTCGATGTCTTTCTAATAATTTTCAGCGAAGTGCACTTGAAGAGACTGAGGATTGCGATCTGATGAGCATTCCAGCTCCCAAGTCAATTCTCAGCTATAGGGAGAGATCAACTGAGGAGGAACTTACCTGTAAGTTGGTCAGATCATTGATTGGTGCTCGCCTTACTTTCTTTATAACATCGTACTAAGTCTAATTGGGTGGGGAGTACAGTCTTGTTCGCTGCGAATGAAGGGGCGTGTCAGGCGTGATGGCTTTGGCGCGTCGCCAAACCCGTTCTCCATCTATGGGCAGGTAAGCAACAGCTGGTGGAAAGCGACTGATACAACGACAGGATACAACCTTGCCGCTTGTTCGCTTCAACAACTCGTGGAAAACGGGTTTTGCGCCCTGCCGGACGTATTCCGTCCGACACGCCCCTTTATCCGCAGCGAGCAAAACTGTAGTACAGCAGGCAGCGGTGTTTCTTCACTCTTGCATGGTCCGTAAACTAACCACCCCGATGCCAATGGGGCCCACTTTCAGTCCAGTGTCGGTTGCTTGATGCTCTCTTGTCGTCTGTAGCACACAACATCATGACGGTTTTGCCTACGGTAGAGGTTCAGCTGCCTACAACTCAACTCAAGCTTAAGTCCAGTCTGGGCTCGCTCTCCCTCACTCCGGTGGGGCTTGGGTGTTTTTAGACACGTTTTTAGTCGAGCAAAAGGTTCCGACTTGTAAAAAAAAACAAGAAAATGAAGGCTGCTGGAATGCAAAATTTTGTCACTTTGGGGATTCGAACCAACTGCCTCTTGTCATCATTGTTTTGGCCTTCCCAGTAGCGCGCTGCGAACATGAACTGCACTTTTGTGGTCTTCCGTGAACTTCTACAGCATGCGACAGACATGTTCGAAAATGGGTTCCACGATCTGAAAGAACCTCTTGCCCCAGCTGGCTGCTGGTTATGATCGCTAACATTCACCCGCCTTCAAATTTTCGTGTGGATGACAAGTTCATGGCGCATTCCCTTGTGTCTATTGGTTGTGCATTTTGCAATCCGCGTATTCCTGAGATTTGTGATTCCCTTATGATTTCAGTGGGCACGTCTGTGGTTCTGGACGAGTCTCGTGTTGGCGTCGAGAATCTTCCGGTAGTAGAAGACGATGACGACGTCGATGACGAAGACGACCTTCAGACGCCCCTAGTTGAAGCTCCACAATGGCATCCGTTGAGCAGCTTTGCACCACCTCCTTCCATTATCGAATCGATGGGATCTCCGTCGGCAGACGGATCATCACAGGGAACGGCTCGCGACAAGGACTGTACGTTTTGCCGACTTCTATTAGAATTTTCTCGAATTTTGTTAGTTTTTTTTAATTGTTGCTCACTCATTTGTGATGCTAAATGTATCTCCAGCTCGCCCATTCAAGCTACAGACGACGTTAGTCGGGGGTGGCAAACCTGCGCTGGTTTTGCGCGGCGCAGTCGTTTTCCATTTACGCGTTTGCAGGCTTTAAGAGGGCTGAGGTAGCAAGGGTTCAATTAGTGTTCCATAAGAGGCTCGCGCTGCGCCAAAACCTAAACGCCGCTGAACGTCCCGACTGTATTAATGGTACCGTTTGCATAGTTCCCTGTCCTACCGCTGGTTCGATAGTTCAGCTCCGTAATCATAGAATGGAGCGGGAATTTATGTATTTGGAGTCCGAGAAGAGAAAATTTCAGAAAATATCCCGCAAGAGTCTCCGGAAAATTTGACGGCGTTATTAATCGTAGGACACAGTGTTGGAAGCTGGGACCCTCACTGGAAGCCCTTAATTTCATGTTGGTATTCAAGGAGCAGCAGATATCGCGATTACTTATAAATAAATATCAGGCCTTCAATTAAAAGACTGATATAGACAAGATTTCCGTGAGTTTTAGTTTTTTACTGAGTTGAGTTTTTCCGTGAGCTTAAAAAGCTTGTGAACTAACTCCGTGGACTAACGTGGATCTGGGTCGCAATGTTTCATTCTGACTTTCCGACCGTAAAGTAGATCACATGAAACGGGAACAAAATTTTCCCGTTTCATGTGATCTACTTTACGGTCCTAATTAGCTGAGCAGCAGTTTGTGTATCGGACGTTTTCATGATCATATGAAAAAATGACCAATGAAACAATGAGTAAAAGGCGGTGATCACGTGGAGAGGTTGAGGGTCACCATTAATCCTAAGCAGTTGGTGGATCAAACCCAGCCTCGGGTCTAAAACAACACCACGCCCCATCCGCAGTCACGAGTATTCAATGATTAGTTAGTGTCTAGGCGTTTACGGGAGGCCTAGGAGACGATGCCTACTCATCAGCCATACGTTTATAGCGCATCGTTGACCGTGAGAAGTACTCTTTGGTTTAGCGCTTAATTTTCTGAGCTGTTTTAACCTATCTTTAGTTCCACTGCTGCTTGCTTACCTTGTCAGAAGGTCACCCATTTTGTGGAATGGTTTTGAAGCATCTTTTATCTGTTCCTGCAGCAGTGCGTGGTAGGAATGTGAAAGATAGTCTGTTCTTTTCTTGTCGCATTTCAGAAGCAGCGGAAAAAGCTGTAGAGCTGGCATGGCTGCAATACTGTTTTCCTATTTTGAAGTGAACGCCTCGCTTTGGTTTTTGAGAATCTTTCTAGAAATAAGGGATGAAACTTATCAAATTGAAAAGCTATCCGTTCGTTTCTTGAACTGTCCGGACCTCTTCTAGTCAAACTAGACGCTACTTTCTTTTAACGACATTCACTTTTATAGTTCTATCGAATTTTTGGTCAATACATTTGTGGGCGGAACTTCTGTTGCGGGGCGATCTTCCAACTTGAGAGAAAATTTTTGAAGCGCGCTCATCTAAGTATGGCTTTATGCTTGTAGTTTTTTCCTGTTTAACGCTCGTTTTAAGTTCGTAGCCCGCGTGGGCACATTTAAGCTCTACTTATACTGACTGACTTGGTGGATTTTGTTATTGAACTAGAGAGAGCTTCCCAAATTCGGTGGTAATTTTCCGTGAAGACTTGTAACTTATTGAAAATTGGTAGCCACTTGGAGGATTTGGTAAGCGTGGTAGGTAGGTTTGTGAGGGCGTTTGTCAAGAAGAATTGTTGGTGGTGAGACGGCAATAAGAATCGCAGTTTTACCGGCTTCGCGCCGCGCGGCGATGGGCGCGGCGTCCTTCTTAACTCGTGTTAACCTGTCGATTGGAGTACCGGGCTTTCATCTAGACCCCGTCATCGTAGACATTTATGACTATTTCCGTTTCTGAATGCCCTGTTGTCGCCATCTGGAACCATCGTTTTGCAGGCGCGATGTCGCACGCCACGCCCACCAGCGCGTGAATTACGATTCTCTTGTCACATATCCCTTCTGGGGGTACTGGCACATGATGTAGCTTAGCTCGATAGCTCTGCTCATGGCCATTGTGTAGTTGGTCGGAGGCTGCCACGTACAAAGAGCTTCCCAGCTGAATATGGCAGATCTTTTTAAGCATAGTTTTTGGATACTCTGAGATATCGATATTTTCAGCGTCTTTGCGTGCAAATTCGAGGCAATCGGACGACACCGGCTATAATGAAGAAAGTGATGCCAGTCGCTTAGAACACCGAAGACGTAAGTCTTTTCCGGAATAGAGTTTTGAAAGAGATTTGCTGTACGTTAAAAAATGAAAGAGGGGAGTTAGGTGACCAACACAAGTCCTCAGTACAAGGCTATAAATCTTGGGAAAGCTGATACTACAGGAGCATTTGACTTTGTACATCATAGCGCAGCTTTCTCTATTCGATGTTATTGCTTTAGTTCTGATGCTCTTTCGAGATTCTAATAGGGAAATGTTCGTTTTGGCCGGGATCCCTTCATCGTGTTCTCGTTAGAAATGCACTGAAAGTGTAAGGAAATGAGGGCCATTTCACGAGCATAGTGGAATGTTGCGCTTAGAAAGTGCTGCTAGGCAGCTGTGGCTGGTTCGAAGTGAGCTGTTTTGGTTCTTTTTTTGAGAGACGTACTTGCTCCACCCTTTCAGAGTCTTGTGACTTGTACCAGACTTGTTTTGAGAGAATGCATTGATTTGAATATCGCAAGACGTTGTTTGGGCCAAAGAAGTAGCCATTTGCATCTATGATTTCGTGTGGAAGTGACGTGCCTGGCGTGTTCTATCCATGGCTCATGGGTTCATTTCGATCGTTGAAGGGTTGGGGAATCAGCCTGGTGAGATTATAGGTCTTGTCTTCAGTCCATCGATCATCCGTTTCTATAATGAAATTTCCCGATTAAGCCACCCCCCATTTATTTGCTTCACTTTGAAGACATGCTCCGCGATTTCTTGTTGGGTGGGATCTTTTCGTGTCAAGGGTGCGAGGTCCACTGCCACTTGTGCTGTACCACTTTCGCCATTCGAGAGTGCTAGGGGCTTATGATGGTTGGAGGTCCCCGCCCATAAAACGTAAAAATACATCGAGGTACTGCGTAGTACAGCAGTGGATTTCATGGTGTGCGAGTGTATCCCGTTGTCCTCTCGCCTCCCGTTGGCAGAGACGCAAGTGGGAGATGACCTGTTGAGCGTCTCTGCGTCTCTCTAACGCGTGTTCCAATGCTGAGAATCAGCTGGAGCCTTATCTGGGGCGTATTCGACGATTTCTTCTGCTTTCTTAATAGCAGGTATAATGACACATGCAAACTATGTTTTGATCGCGCTGCCCAAAACCTGTAATCGTGAAATGTGTCTTTAAGTTCGCATTCTAGTGTGATTTAATACGGGTAAGAGATTAGAGCAGTGTAAAGGCGATATTCACGTATTGAATCGATATTTCTTGAGAAAAGCTCGACTGTGGAGGTACAGTAAGGTAGCGGTACTGTGGCATGCTAATGACCTTTCATTACGCTAACTCGAACTATTGATCACTGGGATCTCTTCGGTTTAGGCAGGTTTTCCATAGTATTGAGACCAGGGTACAGCATCGTTGTGTGAACACATAGAGGGTCTTACTCCACCGAGGAGGGGGGGGGGTCGTTTTCATCGTTGGGAGAGGGAGAAGGGTCGTATGTGCGCTTGAGAGAAATTTGCCGCGTTGGGAAAAATTTTTCCCGGTCGTTGACTTTTCGCGTGTTCGCGTGATTTTGCCCGTTTCACCTGTTTCACGTGTACTATATACCCCCCCCCTTCCGCTCGACAGCTAGATTTTTGGAGAAAAGTAGGAAAATTCTCGGTAAATTCTGGAAAAAGCGGTAGGAAGGTCGCACTGACACTACCATTTCACACATCACAATGCTGTACCCTGATTGAGGCCTTAAGGATATTGCGCTAATGGGTCTGCTCTGCAGGAACTTGACCGATCGATCCTGTGTAGGATGCAATTCTGATAGTTCTACTCCAGGATTTTCTTATAAGTTTTTCCGCCTTGCTCCTTTTCAAGCCTTTTTATTTGTTTTCCACTCTATCTTCAGATCGTTCGATGGATGTTCGCAATTCGGTGTTGTCTTTGAGGCTGACAAGCTGAATTGGTACAAATCTCTGGGGTACGAGCCGGGAGAGGGAGAGAGCGGCGTTGAGATGGGCTGTGCGTCTGCTGTTGCTTTTTTCTCGTACTCTGCCCTTCTTATTGCGGGTCTTTTTGTTCTGGGGGCGCGTTCTCTTCCTCGCGCACATTTTTCATTTTTTTGGCTTTACCATCTATCTCTTTTTTACTGCCTACTCTTGAGTTTCAGCTTGATAAATTTTAGTTCTTTCTTTCAGCTCTTCAGACTTTCAAAAAAGCAGCTATTCATAGACATCGTAAAAATAGTGAAATCAATACTTTCCGGGGTAATATTAAATGCATTGAGCCCAAAAAAATTCGCGCAATCAAGCACTATCCTGGAAAAATGACTATCCCTTACATGGCCTTATTGTTAGATGAAAGAGTTAAATTGTGGCCCATCAAATATAAGGAGGGTTACGTGGCTCCTATTGCCATTCCGCTCTAGAAACTCGGATGTTACCACCTACTGAAGTACTATTAGGTGCTCTGTAGTACTGTTTGTTCACAAAAAAAATTTAGCTTCTCCTAAAGGACGTTTATATGGATGTGGATTCTCATACGCATTTTCCCTTCCATTAGGCTTCTGCGTAGACCGAGGGAAACTCCTTGGGTCACATAAAGTTGGCGATGTTCTAAGAAAGCCGTGTAAGCGAAGAATTTCCTATAGAAAGAATCTTCATGGGGAATTATTGATCAATATCCTTCTCTGAGCAGTTTTTCTCCGTGTAGTTTTTTTCAAAGGCGCTTTTTGCCAGAATAATAAATAACCAATGAGCGAGAGCAGGTGTAGCTTTTTCCATGAATCAAAAAGCTCATCCCTTTCTTTCTCCCTTCCTCACTGGTTTTTTTTCCTCGAAATGAATGGCAGACATCAGTGATTGTGACAGCTGTCTGAATGATTTTTCTCTCGCCACGATGCTGGCTATAAAATATCAAAGGCGACTGTTGTAACAATGAGCTCGAAGCGTGCGGTCAGTGCATACTGGCAAAGGAGCAGCTATCGTTTTTCGGTGTTAGATAAGCGCTTCCGTGAATTCACTGGAGTTTTTTTTAGTTAGAGCACTACTATCTGAAGGGATTTTGGTCGTAAGGGTGCCTCGCGTTCAAATATAGTGAGTTATGCGGTTCAAATACTGATTACAGAGTGGCACTTGGCACAGTACTGAAGAAAAAAAAACAGGAAAACCCTCCGAAATAACCTGTATAGAACACCATGCTAGACGCGCTTGTATTTGCAGAAGGCGAAAAAGGGCGTGGTCGGGCGAGTACTCACTTGTCGATGCCAGTTCTTTCTCCTTATCACCTCATTCCTACTATTCGAAATGGAGAGCGTTAGTGGTGGAATAAACGCAACTTCATAAGTCCG